TCATTCTCTGTTCTTGGTGTAAGACTTTGGAACTCCTTACCCCACTCAATTAGAAGTGCTCAATCCTTAAATGTGTTCCAGAAACAGACAAAGAAATACTATTTGTCTCTCTAACCCCTCTCACTTTCTCCGCTTAATTATAGTCATTGATCTACCTGAAGAATGCTGTCTTTTTAATGCATAAGTTTGTATGTTTATTTTATTTTTATTTTTTTATTTTAGTGCACCCTACCCATAGTTCCTTTTATTATTATATTTATTTCTTTTGGGTTGTCTGGAAGAGATTGCTATGTAGCAATAAGACCGCCCTTTGTATTTCCCTCGATAGTTGTTTATTTTTCTTCTTGTTGATATTTTTATCTTTTTTTGGTGTACAATAAAGAGTATTGTATTGTATATTTATTTTTTTGCATGTGTTGTTTGCTTCTTTCTTTCTTTATATTCTTACACACAGCACACACAGTACAGTTCTTACATAGTAGCATAAATGGGTCGGCAAAACCGGGGTAGGAACACGCTCTAACAGAATACCAGCGTAAAATAGCAGCTCATTGCTGCTGTGTTTCGTATGGTGAGTGTAGAGAACCGGAGACTCCTTTTACTGGATACGAGGCATTCCATCTCAGCCGTCGGGAGTGAAAACGCATCTGCATTTTATTTCTTTATTGAGGATAAATGTGGATGTCTATGGGCCACCACTTACCATCAGGTGGACTGTATGCTCGTTTGTTACCCTTATTCTATAAAAAAAAACGCCATTACACTATTTCCATGAGCCCTGTATTAGAATTAACATATATTAACAAATTACATATAGTGTTGCTTTACTTTACTTTTGTAACATAATTACGCTAAGTAAAGAAATATATGTATATTAGCAGAAAAAACTATTAAAACGCCCCAACTTCAGAATCTAAAGAAATTGTTTAAAAATATTCACCTTAGTATTTTGAATTCTAAGGTGACTAACTAAGCGTGAACCTTCCCGAACAGCCATGATACTGTAGCTTGGCTTCTCTATAGAATCGAAGTGACAAACGAACTTACAGTCCACTTGACGGTAAGTGGCTGCTGCAGTCCATGGACAACTGCAAATCCAAACACACACAGTCACACACAGGCACACAAACACACACAGACACACATTGTAAAAAGTTATTTATAATATGGAAAATTAATGCATAAAAAATAATCGCATACTGCATTCTCTCAATTTGTCCTTATATTTATAATCCAAAGAAGTAATGTTCACTTTTTATCAGCATAGAAGACTAGAGTTGCGTTGTCACCTCTGTGTACTGAGATGGAATTTATTTATTTATTTATTTATTTAATAAGGCTTACCAACTAAATACATATAGAAACAATTATTATGAGATGCACTTAAAAAAAATTGTATATATGCATTTAAATTAAAGGTAAACACAACATATAATAAAAGACTTCCTTTAAGGAGAACAGTAACCTATAAAACTATCACTACAATAAAATAACAAAATTAGAACAAACAAAAAAAAACCTAATTTATATAATGTATAAATGGAAAAAAGAGAGGAAGTAAAAAAACTTTTAAAATGAAAAAATTATTTGGCTGTGTAATGTGTTAGTACCTTCCTCTTTAAAACATTTAAGCTATCAAAATGGATATCCACATCACAATTTTGAAATGTTGAATTGAATGCATTCAACAAAGATGAAAAAGGTGTGTTTCTGCCATATTCATTACGACTTTTTTTAATATGAAACGGTTTGTAGTTATGTAGACGTGCACTAATTCTTGGAACAGTGATACCGATATCAAGTAAGAGAGACCGACAGTCAATTTTAAAACTTAAGAGCTTGTGCAGGAAAGTTATACTTAATACATCCTTACGCCTTTCTAAAGGTATCATATGGTAATGCTCAAGTCTTTTCTTATAGCTATTAAAAGTGTGATAAGTCCCTTCGATGTAACTGAGTCTAGCTAACATTCTTTTTTGTACCTTTTCTATACGTTGTATATTGTTTTGATAACTAGGATACCAAACAAAGGAACAGTAGTCTATATTGCTACAGATCAACGCGAAATAGAGGGCCTTTAAAGCTGATATGGACTTAAATTCTGTAGTGTTACGTGAGATGAATGCTATTAATCTATTACACTTATTTATTGTGATATCAATATGACGTGTGAATCTCATTTCGGAATCAATGTTTAGGCCTAAATCTTTAACATATTTTACTTGATTAAGACGAGTATCTGCAATATAGTAATTAGTCTCGAATTTTTTATATTTCCTTGAAAATTTTATGTGGTGACATTTTTTTTACATTGAGTTCCATCTTATTACATTCACACCATTTACAAAGATCGTTAATATCCCTCTGTAATAGTAACTGGTCCTCTGTGCACTTAACAGTTCTAAAAAATTTCAGATCATCGGCGTATAAAACAAACTGAGTGTTATTTAATACATGTTTTATGTCATCTATAAACAAACAAAATAAAATTGGACCCAGGACTGAACCCTGAGGAACTCCAGAAGTAGCTTGAAATATGTGAGATACAAAACCGTTTACAACAACCCTCATTACTCTATTTTCTAAATAGGACTCAAACCATCTCAAAAGACATCCATCAATAAAAAAAAAGTTTTTAAGTTTAGCCAGTAATATTTTATGGTCCACTTTGTCAAAGGCCTTGCTAAAGTCGGTGTAAACGGCATCAACCTCATTGCCATTACTTAGTTCGGTTAAAACCTTTTCAACAAAGAACATTAAATTGGTTGTTGTGGATCGCTTCGCAAAGAAACCATGTTGATAGTCACTCAGAAGTTGTTTTACATGCCACTTTAAATGGTTACTAACAAGGGATTCAAATATTTTTGACAAAGTGGAAAGTATGCTGATAGGTCGATAATTACAGATAACATTGATACTTCCGGATTTATGTATTGGTAAAACGATAGCCTCTTTCCATACGTTTGGAAAAATGCCTTCCGAGATAGATCGGTTATAAATTAAATGTAGTGGTGTCGATAATATTTTAGCACATTTTTTTATGAATATTGGAGGTAATCCATCAAAACCGGCTCCTTTATTGGTATTAAGCCCAGCAAGTTTAACTTCAATATCCTTTTTAGGTATTTGTATATAATTCAGATTAAGAGAATTTGTCACACTGTCGTTAACTCTCGAGTAAACCTTATCTTGGACTTTGGAGGGTTTGTTATAAACAGATTCAAAGTGCTCAGCAAATAAGTTAACAATACCACTACCGTCATTAGCACCTTTGTTCCCCAGTTCCATTTCCTTAGGGATTGAGTCATTATTATTACGTTTATTCTTTATGTAAGACCAAAAATGTTTCGGATTATTTAAAATATTTCTTTGCACATTATTTATGTATTTGCTGTAACTTTTATTAATTAGCGTGTTTGCTCTTTTTTTTAACAACTCATATTCATATACGTCACGATTGTTTTGATATTTTTTCATTTTTTTGCGGCTAATTTCCTTTTCCTTTAAAAGTTTTATAAGTCTCTGTGAGTACCATACAGGATATTTATTTTTAACAGATGGTTTTAGGGGTACATATTATTTCTCGATATTTTTTCGAATTATGGTATAGAATTTTTCTAAGCATTCATTAATTGAGCGGCAGCTATTTAACTCACTATCCCATTTTACTTCATATAGAGACCTATTTATACCTTCATAATCTGCTTTATAAAACTTATACACATTGAAATTATTGTATCGAAGTTTATCTATTTTTTTATAATATATGTCAATTTCTAACGGCGGGTGAAAGTTATCAATCTTCGATAAAGTATCTACAGCTTTACTGACCGAGATAGGATATTGAACGTTAGATAAAACCAAATCAAGTATTTTAGAGTCATTATTTTGTACCCGATTATACTGTTTAAAACCGTTACATGAAGTAAAATCTATAAATATCTGATTTATTTTTGTGTTAGATTTAATTATTGGATTGCTATGATCTGAGGTCCAATCAATATGACCCAAATTAAAATCACCCACTAGAAGGATATGATCAAGTTTTTGTACAAATATACTTTTAGTGCTGATGAAGTGGTTTAGATCATCACTTGAGACTGGTGGGGGTAAATAAACAGCACAGATATGAAGAGAGTAATTTGGCGTTATGTCTAAAGTAACCCATAAATCTTCACAAGAACTTTCTAAGAATGTATTCCTTCTAGCCTTTATATTTCTCTTTACTGCTATTAAAACGCCACCACCTTCCTTTCCAGTATAGAAGGTATTGGCCTGTCGATCTCTCCTGAATACCTGATACCTACTGTCAAATAGTTCCGTGCTAGCCACAGAATCGTTGAGCCATGTTTCAGTGAAAATTATTATATGAAAATTTCTTGACAGTACATTTTTATATATACTTTGCAGCTTAGTCCTAACACCTCTAACATTCTGATAGTAAATGTTTAAATCAGAGTGTGTGAATGATTTAAATTTAAATTTAATACAGCATTAGATAATAAATTTAGAAAAATAAATAAAAATTAACTGAGATTTTCCAGTGCTTCCAATCTTGTTATTACCCGTGCTGGTAATGTCTCATTTTTGCGCACAAAAATTTTCCCATTACGCACCCAAAGAAATTTGTATTCTTTCTCTTTTGCTCTCAATCTGGTAGCTGCGTGTAACGCCGTGTTGGATGGAGTCAGATGTTCGTTAATGAATACTGGTGATTCAATGTCTCCATAACCCAGGATTTTCGTGTTTAATTTATTTTTTGGGTTCATTTTATTGTATGTAAGTACAGCGCCTAAGAAGTTGTCTCGCTTTATTTTACTTGTTAATTTACATACAACAGTCCTTGGCAGCTTGGATGAGGCATTAAGCTTTTGCACTCGGTTGCAGGATAAAATATCAGTTTCCAAAATGGGAAATGAAATAACTTTTCCGATATTAACAATTGTGTTAACCAGGTTTTCTTGTCTGTGCTCAGGTAAGCAGTGGATTTCGACATTTGACTAACGGGCAGACTGTTCCATTTGTGATAACCTTTCCTCTAAATCCCTGACCTTGCCAGTTAACATTACATTAGTTGTAGAAAAGATCTTGGTATCATCAGATAGGACTTTAACTTTGGTACTTATAGCGTCATATTGTGAATTAATAAATTTAATCGTTTCTTCAAATGCATGAATTTCTTTTTCGATATTAGCGAACTCCTCATTTAATGTATCTCGAATCACTGAACGCAATTCCCTACGAATAATTTCTGCTAGTTCAGCACGAGATACACAGTCTTGGTGTTCAGTAGTGGGTTCGCTCTCTTTTTGACGCCTTATGGTAATATTTTGAGAGTCGTCTAAAAATTCGCTGCAGGTCGCCAATTTAATAGGAGTATCATCACTATTTCCTTCCTTACGTATTATTGACAAGTATTTAATGGAGCAGTCAGGACACTTCCAATTTTTTTGCTTTTTGAAGTTATCAACATTCAAATTAACACACAGGTAATGATATCTTTTGCCGCACGAAGATTGAGTGCAAGTAATTCTTTCTGAAGGTTTGATTGCTTTTTTACAACCGCTGCAAGGTGAGTTCATATTTGAAATAATAAACTTGTCAGAAATTATTCACAAAAAGTGTTGGGTGTTTGTCTGGATTCGATCTTCCGATTCTTGAATGCGCTTCACGTTTAAACAGAAAGTGGTCGCTTATACCACTGCGCTACTAAGCCGCTAGCAGGAAGCATGAATTTTTGGAAGTGTTTCGAGTATTCTTAGTTATAACTATCGTACTTTGACCTTTCCTTTGTTTGTCAAGAATAGCTCTAACACCGCACACTACGTAAACACAATGTTTGCAATAAATATTGCCAAAATACACCAATTATTCCACGATAAAAGATAACACTAATACAATTGTTTGGTCCAGTAGGTTCTGACCGATATTTACGTCTAAATTTCACTTCACAAACTTTATTTTTTGCACTGTTATTGAATTTATACGAGGAGCATAAGTAAACGTGTCCGTTTGGTACTGTTCTCGCGGCTATTGACTATTAAAAACTGTTTTGTTTAAGTCAGTTTTATTCATACTGAATGCTTCATAGCTTGTAATTATAGTGGCTTTACATACCCTTCAGAGCGGAACACAGTAGTGTAAGTACTGGTATTTAGCGAAAAAAACAGCTAAGAATTTTGTATCTACCCAGACTGAATCCCAGGCGGAAAAGCAGCCCTACCACGCATTAGAAGCACTATTATTGCTTCTTATAGCACCTTTCGAATGAAATAACTTGTATTCCTTTTGTAATAAATACTAAAAACACACAATTTGCTTTATTCACCACCTAGCAGAACTCTAATACGTATCAGTAACTATTTGATTTGTTTTTGTTTGAAGTAGTAGAGCCATGCTGCAGCTTTATTATGGCTGTAGCACGATTGTGTCTGCTCAAACGAGGTAGAACCACGCTCTCACAGGATACCTGCGTAAATTACCAGCTTAATATTGCTGTGTATCGTATGGAGAGTGTAGAGAATCGAAAACCCTTTATATGGTAACTAGTCATACCATCTTAGTCCTCAGAGGTGACAACGCATCTGCATTTTCATTCTTAATTGAGGCTAGATGTTGATATCTATGAGCCGCAGTATTGACTTACCATCAGGTGGACTGTGTGTTCGCTTGTCGCACTTATTCTATAAAACATAAGCCTCTATGTTCAGTAAATTGACGTCTTTTTTTCATAGCTCGAATTTCAAATGCATGAAAACTAAAAAACTACGTAAAAAAACTACCCGCAAAGTGCAGCGCCTCAAATCGTTTACACAGGCGTCTTACACGCCACGAAGCGGAATGCAATTTTTTTTTCTTTTTCTATTTAAGTATTAATGGATTACAACTTTTAAAAGAATAGGTTACTTCTGTAGGGTTCTTTTTCTTTAGAAAACAATTTGTTTTAAAGCAAGTATACACTTCCCTCGTATCACTTAACCCGAGACAAGATAATTAAAGCGTGGCGTTACAAACTGCCGCCATCTACTGCTAACGGGGCAGTTTACTTGCTAATGGAATTTCCTCCGTCCTTCTGATAGATATCACTCTTTGTTTTTGGTGTTTAATTGGATAAACTAATACTGTACAACGATTATTTGTATTATCTAGTATCGAAAAATATTACATACTCGTATCTTGTTTGGTTTTTTTAACAAGACAATGCATTTCAGTCTCTAATTATACTGGCTCTGTATTTATATTGGAATACAGCAGTACACACACTGCTTTTACCTGTGCTGCGTGTAATTATGTTGGAATACAGCAGTACACACACTGCTTGCACTTAGGCTGCGTGTAATAATATTGGAATACAGCAGTACACACACTGCTTGTACTTGTGGTGCGTGTAATTATACTGAAATACAGCAGTATGCACACTGCTTGTACTTATGCTGCGTGTAATTATACTGGAATACAGCAGTACATACACTGCTTGTACTTGTACTGTATGTAATTATACTGGAATACAGCTGTACACACACTGCTTGTACTTGTACTGCGTGTAATTATACTGGAATACAGCAGTACACACACTGCTTGTACTTGTGCTGCGTGTAGTTATACTGGAATACAGCTGTACACACTCTGCTTGTACTTGTGCTGTATGTAATTATACTGGAATACAGCAGTACACACACTGCTTGTACTTGTGCTGCGTGTAGTTATACTGGAATACAGCAGAACACACACTGCTTGTACTTGTGCTGCGTGTAATTATATTAGAATACAGCAGTACACACACTGCTTGTACTTATGCTGCGTGTATTTATATTGGAACACAGCAGCACACACACTGCCTTTTACCTGTGCTGCGTGTAATTATATTGGAATACAGCAGTACACACACTGCTTGCACTTGTGCTGCGTGTAATTATACTGGAATACAGCAGTACACACTCTGCTTGTACTTGGACAGTACGCGAGCAACCCGGGTTCGTGTTGGCGCTAGTTGTCACGATAACATCGGATCTGTATTCAAAAAAATCTCTAAAAAGTAATATCGCTCTTTTAAGACTATAAACTTATAAATATTGTTGCTGAAACTATAAAGTATAAGTGAAAGTGTTATCCAGTGATAATTTTTACAAATAATTAAATAAAACTCTCAATAAAATTTCAATTACATTCAGTCATTAGTCTACGTTAATTACAGTTAATAAAACATTAAAACAGAAAAAGAAAATAGTGTCAGTGTAGTTATCATAAGAAAATCTGTAACTGTGATCTATAACAACGACTAAACCAGTGCTAAACATTAAAGTGTTGTGAAAGTCAGTGCAAAAATATTTTATCCATGAGTCACCGTAACGAATTTATTTGATTCAAATTTCATATGAACTGAACAACATCCTTAAATTCGACGTATCGCCTAATGTCTAATTAGCCACTAACGTTTCGTGCTTGTTTCGAATTTTGTAACTAATAATCGCGAGTTCGAATCCCATCACAATTTATTATTTTGTATTTTTGAAGATTTTTTTTTTTACGGTATAGAACGACAAGCACAAAAAAAAACGACATGAATTTTGAAAATATTACTGTAAGAAAAAATAAAACAATACTTAACTCGCCAAATTCTTCATTCGAGTCAACAAATTCCGATTATCTTTCAAAAAGTTTACCACAATTGTCATCCAGCTTAAGTTATGAAGAGTTTGAAAGACTAAAGGAGGAAATTGAACAGTTGAGAATGCAATTAAATACCGCTAACAACGAAATAGATAACTTGATCATGGAAAACAACACTTTGAAAAAACAAACAGCTGAACAACAAAATACTATTACAAATTTAAAAAAAATCTGTAGCGAAACACAAAGTAGTACAAAAAAAAATTCAACTATAAAAAAACAAAGATGTAAGGTAAAAAATCTAAATATTGTTCATAGAAAGAAACTGGATATGTCTTTCATTGATCTTGAGACAAAATCTTCTGAAGGAAACACAACTGAATTCGCTACACGCAATATGAGCAAGAACGGGTCTTCACAAGTCCATAAACTTAACTTTAAAAAGTGCGATCAATACAAAACAGATGGCGCTATATTAAATCTGCATGAAGAAAATAAAGTAATTAATAATCAGCAACCTTTTAAACCCATTGACAACAAAACAAAATCCCAATTAATTATATTTGGAGGACAACAATTTACAGGATTGGCTACACTACTTATACAATCTAGAAATAACAATCAGTACAAAGATTACCAGGTCTTTTCAACTACAAAACCCTATGCCACTACAGAGGAAATTCTTAAACCTATTTATAAATTGAACGATTGCGAAGATAATTATCTAATTATATGCATAGGAGAAAATGACACTAACCCTAACAAAATAATAATAGAATTAGTATCAATGCTAAAATATTTAAAAAAAACTAAAATATTAGTATTTAATGTTTTACAGAACAGGTACTTAAATGAAAGTATGTTAAATAACAATTTAAAAATTATATGTAACAACTTTAAAAATTGCTCATTTATAAATGTAGAGTGTGACTATCCGTACAATAAATACTACTACTTATTAGATGTGTGTAAAAAAATTAATTTTAAGATTGACTCAAATTATTATGAAAATAAATTTTTATGTCCTAAAAATATGTTATTGTTAAGGAAAAAGGCTAAAATAGAATGCACAACTATTCCTAAGAAGGGAACAATTCCTTTTTACTTTAAGTCTTGTAAAAATGTACATTCAGGGGATAATTGCCAGGAAGTAAACTCTACTACGGCGTTTTTGAACAAAATGGAAATAGTAAATACCGAGACTCATAAAAAGGGAACCATACCTTATTATTTTAAAAAGCCAATACCGTGTTTAAATAGACAACCTGACCCACAGTTGCCTTTACAAGCGAAAACATGTTTTCGTCCCTAACTCTAAATTCAATTTTAGAATATTTCACCAGAACATCGCCGGCGCTGTAAATAAAACTGAGGAACTATCATTTGCAATCCAAGAGTTGTCACAAAAAGGTCCAAAGATAGATATGGTGTGTTTGACAGAAACTTTCATTAAAAAAGGTACAGAAATGCTTTTGAAAATACCTGGTTACAAACTAGTTGCATCGTATTCACGGGACACTAAACGAGGAGGGGTATGTATAATGATAAATAATAATTTGATATACAAAAACGTGACTAATATTAATGACTTAGCATGTAAATTTAATTTTGAATGTTGTGGCGTAGAAGTAAATAAGATTATAATCATTTGTTTATATAGAACTCCTAATAGCAATCCACAAATATTTCTTGAAAAGCTAAAACAGTTACTAGCAAGACTTACTAGAAAACATAAAAAAATTATTCTTTGCGGTGACTGGAACTTGGACATCTTAAAGCCAAACAAGAGTTGCGAAGAGTTACAAAGTATGTTTAAAAACTATAACATTGAGTTGCACATTCAGACACCAACAAGACAATTGTCATGTCTCGATCAATTTGCAAGCAACATCAAGCAAGTTAAAGCGGAAATACATCACCTTGCCTTGTCTGATCACGAAACGGGACAAACACTTTCGCTCAAAACTACAAA